CTTGTTTGAGTGTGTTATGCCTGTCGGTGAACTCGAAGCTCTGTAGCGAGGGTTCACCCGGCAAGGCCAAGAGACTTGTGTATTGGCCGATTATTATCGGGAGGTTTTACGTGACGGCTTATTGTTGCCTATTTGCACGACTGAGAGTGCTTTAATTGCCTCCCTTTTATTCTTCCAACCGAGTGTTGAACACTCGGTGATCTCGTAAAAGGCTTACCCGTGCCTGGTACCCTTTCGCTGTTGGGACCACGAGGATTCAAAACACCTGCTAGTTTTGCTCGTGCTAGTAGCGTGGTCTTATTTTTACTGGTTGGCCTATATAAGTAGGTTACAAGGTCCAGTTTGTCCCGGTGCAAGGGCAGAACTGGGGTCTTCAGGGCCGCCCGAACGATCGTTTACTATCCTAGTAGACGTATTGTTGTGGGAACATCCTAACTACGTTTGTAGCTAGAGTTCACGTGGGATTTCCAACACCACAACATATATATCTTGTCCTCTAAAGAAAACTAAAATCAAAAGCCGAAAAATCGAAGCCCTGACTGGTTGGATTTTAATATAAATCGTGTCCTCCAAAGAAGAATTAAATCAAAAACCGAAAAATCCAAATCGATTCTGATCAAATTAGATGCCATAATATTATTAGCACCTCTAATTTGATCAGAATCGATTTAGTACTATCAATAGTACTACTATCTTACTTCCGATTGCGCTCTCGAGCGCCGTGTCATATTGCTGTCATTCGACAATTCTCCATGGCCGAAAGTTTCACCGTTCAAGACCACTTCGTGGAGCTGGGATACACCATCGATGATTCCACCAAGGGCCCGATATCTCACCAATGCCGCGGGTGCGGAAAAAAGTATCGCCTGATCGACATTTTTCGTAAGAAAAAAAACAAGCCTCAGCAAGTCGAGGGCGAGGAAGCACTACAAGGTGTGCAAGGGCAAGAAAACGTCGAAGGTCAAGGAGCCCTTTAAGTCCAAGAACCCGCGTTTCCAGGACCATACATTTTCTTCGAAAGCGAAGTGTGTGACGAATTAATGAGGGTAGCCTAGTTTTATTAAAAACGATAATAAAACAACCACATCCTTGACAACACCCGATGGCAGCCGTTGCCAAGCCATAAGGGTTTAGGGTTCAAGGTTAAGTATAGAGGTTTCTGAAAAAAAAAACTAGCCTAACAAGTACACCTGAAATTCAGCACACATATGTCAAAAGATATAAATATTCTGCTCACAAAGTTTTAATCCAACGGGCACCGGCAAGTATACAAAAACTAAGAAATACCGATACAGCAAAAACAAGCATATTAACATATGATTTTCTCAACGGATATGAAATCAGCGGTGTCGGTTTAGGGGGGCTATGTCACGTTCCTAGGCCTAAAAAAGGGGCAGAACAGTCTTAAACTGAGCAATGTATTGAACTCATTTTAAGTACGAATTTTTCTTCATCTTAGATACAATTTTTCCTATATTTTAAGTACAATTTTATCTTTATTCAAAGCACGAATGGTCTTATCTTAAGTACGATTTTTTTCATATAAGTCCGAATATTATTTATCCTAAGTACGAATTTAACTTCATCTTAAGTACAAAT